GCTGCGTGAAGCTGTCAAATACTTGCACGCGCAACCATTATCGGTTACTTATAGCATTGAGACAGACGGCAACGTTAATCCGCATTAAGGGAACAGTTAATTTAAAGTAAATTTTACTTTGCACGGAGAAAAGCTTTTTGTTTTTTTTAATTGGATACATGTATTCTTGATCGCAAAATAGTAAATAATGCATCAAATATTGAAATGTGGCTTAGTTTTCCTTGGATTTAAGAAAAAACACTACTGAAAATAAGGAAGAGAAGAAACCATTTTCTGAAACTTACTAAATTCACATTAAGAAAACAATTTGCTAATTTACTTAAACTTTGAAAACAACAACAAAACAATAGCAGAAACAATATGTGGCTGGTTAAATAAAAGTAAGTCAGTTATTTTAATTCAAATACAAATAAAACATTGCAAAATTTATTTTATACGGAAAAAACGTAAATACTTAAATGCCATAAGAATTAAATTTAATAATATTTTTTAGCAACACAATTTAAAAATTATATAATAAAAGCATTAAAAACAAATAAAAAATAAAAAAAAAATAAATTTCCTGCTCGAGCATTGCTCTGTCGGCCATTGCAACTATTGGAGCGTCCTCTTTCACGGGGTATGAAGCAAAATATACAAATTTTTTTGATAATTTTCAAAGAAAAAAAATTCTCGATTAAAACAAATCTTTTCTTATTTATTTTAGTGGCCTTTATTTCTCAAAATCAATTAAATAGTTTAGATATAAAATTGTACATTTGTTTTGTTTAAGAAAAAAATGTCTGCTTTTAAAAGAGGTTAGGTATAGTACCAAACACATACAGATTACATGAAGGTACCCGAATATTTGGCTCTCGTAGGTAGTAAATTTGAGGCCATTTTAGGCATTAAAAAAGGTTAACGATATTATCATTTTTTTTTTGTATACATCCATTAACACTTCAATCACGACGATCCGGAGTTCCATGGCTACATCTCAACTATTGAAGAAATGCGTTCAATGTAAAATCAAAAAAAGGTTCCCCTAGGTCTAAGCGAGCTGCGAGGTCGTGGGCTCGGATCACACGACCAATACTTTTCTTTTTTTTGTTCCTTTCGATGTTTTTTTTATTTTTTTGTGTGGATTTTCTAATAAAATTTAAACACAATGAAAAAACTTTACTTGAAATAATAATATGAAATTAAATAATACAAAGTAAAATAAAATATGTATATGTATTAATCAAATAAAGGTTAAAAACTTAATTTTGGTAATTTGTGAACATTCGGCTTGCTTTGTTTGCTTGGTTTATTCTTCATTCACAATAGCCAACAACTTGCCGTTTAGAGCAATGTTGTCATCGAAAATACCCCAGATCGGCATTAATTTTAGCTAATTCCGTATTAATGAGTTTTTCCGCATCAACGTTGCTCTCTGTCTATGCTTTTAGTATTGGTGAGCACTCAACGAGTTCTGAATTTAAATAAAATGTTAAACACTATACTTGCTAAATAAATATTATAGTGTAAAGACATTTACATATACTATGTATGTATGTATGTAGGCGGACTCTTAGAATTTTAATTTCAAAACTAATAACTCAATTAGTTTGACGCGTCGTCTGATTATTTGTCGACATCAAAACACTCCTCTTTCGTACGCTTATCAAACAAGATGCATCACAGCAAGGACAAGTGAGCTGCTGTGATTGATCTCTGACTGGGTCTCAACCTTTTACTCTTGTCTCGATGCTAATCAAAAAATCTTTTTATATGTATGTCATTTCATATTTCTGTGGGCGATTTTTATATATTTTGTATGTATCTACTCTCATTCATTATCTCTGTTATCACCAACTATGTGAAGGCGTGTGTCACTAATGTTTATTACTGTCAGCTGCTGTTTTGTGTGGCGTTGATAAGGTAAACAATGGCAAATCTTGTACACTTGCTACAGCTGAGTAGCTATGTAGTGACAGAGAATGTATATGAAGTACATATTTAGGCTATGTATATGCAGATATGTATGTATATATATGCAAGCTTATGAAAAGTTGAATTTTTTCGATAACTTTTGATGGTTGATCAAAGTAAACTTAAATGAAGCTGGACCTGTATAAACACCGTTCCAATGGATATTTTTTTTACATTTCGAGGCAATATGTTGAACAGACGGGGGTAGTAATATTCAACATCGCGAATCAGGCAAGCAGAGTTGTTAATTTTTGAAGACTAAACCTACATTTTTATCGCTTAAATAATTTGGAATAGGTAGTAAACTTAGGCACGATTCCTCAGTAATCCCCAAAGTATTAGACGGCATCTGTAACTCCATCGTAGGGGAGGTCCAAGATGAGCGATTTGGAAAAAAAGTGTTGAATTTATCGCTACTTAGTGAAAATAAATCCGGTTCATAGACTTAAGACCATATAATCCAATTTTAAAACAAATACTTTCCTGAAAAATAATATGATTTCATAATCTTTCAAATAAAGTTGCCACTTATGCATATTCCTCTCAAGCGCATGAATTTGTTTTTGAAGTAGAAAACACTTTTTTTTTTTAATCTAGAAGTCAGCCGGTACAATCCCAAGGCCAAGTTTTATGCCAACCAATGTAATAAAGGCACTCTTCAATGTGATCTTCATTTTTGATAGATTTTAAATTATTAAATTTAAATTTTGAGGTAGACGAACTCGAATGAAGCCATTTCTATCTGTATACAGCTATACCGAGCACCAGATTATGGCTTTTTTATTAGAAAATTGCGACAAAAAGTTATTAGCGGGTTACTTGGTATTTTTAATATTTTTCGCCTCACTTTATTTTGTTAAATTAATGCACATATGCTTGTATATGTATGCATTTATATTTAAGTGTGTTTTGTCTGGTGCAGTGAATCTTTCCTTTGCTATAAGATTACTCGAACAAATTGCAAGTAAAAAATGAAATAAAATTTAATCAAATGAAGCATTATCTTTTATAAATTAATTAATTAAAATAAGGTAAGCAAAAAACAAAATAGACCGTTTGCATGTTGAAAACTTTGTTACTGAGAGGAACAAGCTGGAGAGCAGCTCTAGAGAAGTCCAATATAATATCTACATATTTATGTATGTGCATATGAAGTCTTTACCTTAAGATGAGTTAGGTTGGAATGATTGGAGAGCCCAAATATGTACCTTTGTACCTTTCCCTAACCATTTGCTTTGCTTTGTAATTTATAGCCTTATTTATAAAAGAATAAAGTAGCTTTAAAAAGGGTTTATAAATTGAAAAACTTATGAAACATTTCAAACCTACATACTTTACTTTTTATGAATAAGACCATTAGTATTTATTTTTTAGATTTTCAGTTTTGAAATTGGTTGAAAAGTGTATTTTTCAAAAATGTATTTTTCAGTGTATGTTTTTCTTATAATGTGCTCATATATCCATTGTATATTTTATATTTTAGAGCATTTTTATTTAGTTGTTCCACTGTTTGCAATTATGTATAATATAAAATATATATTAAATTTGTATTGCTTTTGTGTTACTAATTCCCACTTTCACGAAAGCAATTTAAATGAAAAATTATTTTAGTTGTTTGTATTTTATATGGAAATTGACATGAAATAAAAAATCATTTTCCATATCAATTGCTGGTGAAAGCGGCTATAAGTAAAATATTTTCTTTTGCTTATTTTCCCGTTTATTGGCGTCTTCACAGTTTTTTTTAGTTTTTTTCTTAGTTTTGAGATTCTGGTTGAATAAAATCTTATGGCCCAAAGTCATTTTTCCTGTCGTAGAAAATCAGTCGTCCTTTAATTGGTTCAAAGTTTGATAGTTTTTTGTTAGTTTTATAAGTTCTTATTTGTTTATAATATTTTATTTATTAAATTTTATTTCTGTGTGCTTCGCCTATTAAAATATTAATTTTAATTTATCTGGTTCTTTTTATTTTATTTTTATTTTTTTCGTATTTAATGTTTATCTATTTTACTTTTTAATTTAATTTTATGTGACACAAACTTTACTTAATTTAATTTTACTGTTTTATTTAGTTTAATTGATATTAATTTAATTATTTTATTTTATTTTATTTTATTTTATTTTATTTTATTTTATTTTATTT